TAATACTTGAAAATCTGTACTTGATATTTTACAATTATCATAATCACATAACTTTTCAATAATTGGTGATGTTTTTGCATGGTACCCAAGTGGCAAAACATCAGCATGGAAACCAGATTTAATTGGCAAAATATAATAACAAGGTTTTTTGATTTTTTTGCCTTCCATTTTCTTTTCTACTCTACCATCATTTTTTGAAATCTCATCAAAAAAATCCAAAAGAAATAATGCAGTTTTTTTAATTAATTCATCAAGATCTTTTTTTTAATAAGGATAATCTTTTTTTGGTGCAAATGATGACATGAAGTTATTTTCAGATTTGCAATGGTCAATAAATAATGCATCACACCTGAGAGACTTGGCTGTGTTCACTTTTGCATTTGTGTGTCTTCAAACCAAACTATGGAAATTTTCTACACAATATTCATCCAACTTATTTAAATTATTCTTCAATGTATCCATTATAGGATGTTTGATCTGTTTCCAGTATTGGATGTCTGACAAAAATGCAAGGATAATTTTATCATAATTGTGTATCTGGAAATGTTTCATAATACACCAAAGACGAAATACTGCACTGATATATTCACCAAGATGATTCCCTCAGAATAAGGTTGTGTAGACATCAAGAGTTACAGGGACCAAATTGTCCAACAGATCTAAGAATATTAAATATCCTGTTTTTTTTTGAATTTTTAAATCTTCTCATTACAAAACATTTAACAATTTGCCATCCTCCATGTGCAAGATATAACAAAAGGTTCATTATCCATGGCTTTGGTTTTGCAGCTAGCTTTTTTTTCTTCCCAAATACTGTTCTATACATTGAATCAAAAAGCCCCAAAATGTCAAAAAGACTGATTCACATGTATTAAGTGAAAGGTGCAATGGGCCTAAAAATGACAGTATATGAAGAATTTCCTTTGGGATGCTGGTATTATCAATTGAATTAAGTCTTTTTACAACTGCTCTCCTTAAGTACAGCTGTCCAGGATAATCAGCAGGGATGAATAGCATATTATCACTCAAGTAATTTTTCACTTCAGGTAATCTTAATAAAACTCATTATTAATATCATTTTATTACAAAACAATTATATAATAACAATTACCTTATAAATGAATCAACAGCTTGAAGATAATTTTTTGTGTTTTTTAAGTCAAGTTCAACAAAATCAACAAGTTTAGTTTGAGTAAACTTACGTCCATATTTTTCATAAATATCAATGTCATATGAATGAACTACCAATGATTGTATAAGTTCAGGCTCATCAAATTTTATCAGGTCAGAAATTTCTTTCCAACTAGCTTTTTTCCAAATTATAACTTTTTGCTAATAAAATCACATACTCATCATGAAGAGCATTTTTGATAATTGAAGCATCAACTCCTTTTGGATTATGTATTGGGTCATTATTTTCATTGTAATATGGAATGGGTGGTATAGAAACTGTATTGAACAAAATAGTTGCCATATGAGCAATTTGGGAAGTAGATGTTACATTTGGAATTTGAGTACTATGCAAGTTGTGATAATCATCAATATAACCTATTAAAAGATTTTTGGACTAAAATGATATTAGTATTTTGTTTAATTTACAAATTTAAACAATGCAAAAATTTTTTAATCAAACATACTGATTTCTTAACATATACTCGTACTGTCTCTTCATGTGTTTCAACAAACTTTTACAACTTATTATATACTGTTTGATATGTGACACTTATTCCAATGTTTGCAAGGGTGTTTATATCACTAGTAGAAGTGCCTGACTCTGCAAGAAACAATCCAATGGATGTTTTGGTACCACTTACCTGCTTATTACGCAGTGCAGCCATTTGATAGCACAGTAACATATCCTTTTGTTTTAACAATGACTGTGTTTTTTGATTTTTATTTTTGGGATTCATGGCTTCATATAAAGCATCAAAAAATCCTTCTAGTTTTGGATCATGGCTTTTGATTAATTTCACAAATTCTTGAACATCAAAAATTGGCATATTATTATTTTGATATTGATATATCACTTTAGTCATTCATTCAATTTGTTCATTGAAATATTGTGAAAATTGTTTGGGTACTATTTATATAACACAAATTTTTATTTCTCAAACCCAGCAGGTTTGAGTTTAAAACAATTATTATGGTTTAATATAAAAAGTGTATTGTAGCAATCATAAATTATTTATAATACATATCTAAACAATTTTTGGGCAATTATAACATAAAATAATTAAGTTACCATTGTTATGTGATTTTCCACTTCAATC